GTTCGTAGAATCCGTCGAGGATTCTATACGAGAGTTTGACCTATTTTTCGTATAGCATCTCCTACGGATTCTCCACACGGATTCTTACTTTTGCTCACATGGATTGATATTTCTCGGCACACACAGATCCCACAGCAGTCACCACTAGCTTCGAAGACGCCTACAGGTGTGGTGTGCGCAGCCTCCAAGGTTTGGTGGCGATCCGACCATCATGGAGGGAGAACTCTGTGGTGATGTGGTGAGAGGTCTGTCTCTTGGTCGTATCCGTGTCAAATCCGGACGGGGGGGGGTATGCCAGTCCAAAAAATCCGTCGGGCCGGCTTTCGGTTCCCATAAGAGTCAGCCTTACCGGCCAAAACTACGAACTACGGGAAGCAACACATGAGTCCCCCCCCCCGGCATATCGCTCCGTCCCAGGATGCGAGGTCAATGGTCTAGAGACGGCGGCATGCGTTTACATTAGCTTACCCCTCCCCCCCCAAACTTCCATCGACGTACATGCCTCCTGAGAGAGTTCCACACTCTGTCGCAAGCGAGCACTAAATAGTAATGACCGTGCCACCCTTTTACATGAGTGCACCCCCCCCCACCCAGGAAGGAACGATTGGCCATCGGTGGTCGGCCCTGTGGGAACAACGCTCCGTCCTGTCGTGGACGCGTGGTCAATGGCCTAACCGCTAAGGCATGCACTACATATAAAGAGTACCCCCTTCCTCCGCGCGCGCGCGCGCGCGCGATTTTCTACCACAGGACACTCTGCCGGAGGGAGCCGGGCCGGACGTGCCATTCCAGCACTCGCTGCGCTCCCTGCCCAGCCCGTGCACGCTCCGGGATGCGCTGTCGACGCGTCTCGATCTGCAGGCCCCCCTACGCCGCCCGGTGCTCCGCGCGCTAGCTGAATTCTGCGGGGACCCCGCCGAGAGGTCGTGGATGGAGCTCCTCTGCTCCAAGACTGCCGGCGGTGAGATGGATAGATGTAGATGTGTGTGTCGGCGGAGGCGCCCGGGGCGTTGGAAGGCCGTCTTTGTTGTTGCTGTAGCTGTGGTCGTCGTCTTTGTGGTGGTTGTTGTTGCTGTGGTTGTTTTTTAATGTCGTTGTCGCTGCGCTTGTCTTAACTGTTGTCGTCGTTGTTGTTGCGCTTGTCACAGCGCTGCTGTCGTGCCATGTGTCGGGGGTATTTTTGTCGTGGCTGTTGATTTTGTTGTGGTTTTTCGCAGCGCCTTTGACGTGTGATCCGTCGGTGGTGTTTCAACATGTTTTAGCCAGTACAAAGGTGTCCACTTGTATAGCCTGGCAAGCCTCGGTTGGACATGTCTGCTTTCACGCCCGCTTTAGTCTTTCCCTGGTTTCCATTTCGTTCTCACCGCTGCCGTTTCTTCACTATAACTCCTGCTGTTGCTGTTGTTGCTGATGTCGCTACTACTCCAACTGCTGCGGCCGCCGCTATACCGCTGCCGTTGCTGACACTCCAACACAATTTCCTCCTGCTCCCGCCGCTGCCCGCCGCCACAGCCGGAGTGTACGCCAGCTACGTCGCGGCGCAGTCGCTTACCCTCTGCGAGCTCCTGGAGGCGTTTCCCTCCTGCAAGCCTCGCCCGGGAGCTCTGCTGGCGCTCCTCCCGCCGCTGCCGCCGCGCTACTACTCGGTCGCCTCCTCCCAGCTGGCCACCCCGGACAGCTTGACGGTCGCGTTTAGCGTCGCGTCCTCGCGGCTGCCTCATGCTCCCGCTACCGCTACTGGCGACGCCGGTGCCGCTGCTGCTGCCGCCTCGCCGGCTGGAGGAGGAGGGGGGGCAGCAGATGGTGCCGGGGGCGGGGACGGTGGGGGTGTCGTCACTAGACGAGGGCTGTGCACGAATTGGCTCGAGGGAATACTCGCGCCCTTCCTGGAGGGGAGCGGGAGTGGTGAGGGGGGGAAGTCTGTCAGCGTCCCTGTGTTCCTCAAGCCTACGAAGGAGTTCCTGCTGCCAGCCAGCGCGAAGTGGCCTTGCGTGCTCATCGGCCCCGGCACTGGGTAAGCGTTTTTTTTTTTTTTGTCTTCCCCCACCGTACCGTGTGTAGTGTGTGTTTCCGATTTTTGCATTTGTTTTTATTCCTTTTCCCTTTGTGAACTACTGCCGTGTGTTTGTTTGCCATTTAGCCTGCGCCCGTGAATTGCCAGCTTGTGCCCTTGGTTGCTGGCTCGCCGCCAGCCCATATATTTTCGTCCGCCAACAGCAGTAGTCTTGCGTTCGATACACACCTACATTTCTGCGTGTTGTGCGCGTGCTTGACTCCCACTGTCCTTTTTTTGTTTCTGCGTCCAATTTTTTTTATTGTTTCGTCCTCCTGCCTCCGCACGCTCCCTCCCGGCTTGACCAAAAACAAAAACAAAAAAACTCGCTCACCACCAGAGTGTCTCCGTTCATCGGATTCCTGAAGCACCGGGAGGAACAGCACGCGCGGCGAAGGGAGGAGGCGGACGCTGTGTGCTCGGGCTACTGGAGAGGGGGCTACGAGATCTCTCTGGAGGGGGAGGATGACGAGGTGACAAAAAAAAAGATGATGGGAGTGAAGAAAAAATGAAAAAATAATGACTCTAAGGGGAGGATGAGGTAAAAAAAAAAAAGAACAGAACATTTATTACAAAAAAAACTGAAGGGAGGATGACGGAGGAAAAAAAAAGATGAAGAAGTGAAGAAAATGACGCCAAGGGGAGGATGAGGTAGGAAAAAACAAAACAGAAAATTATTACAAAAAAAAACTGAAGGGAGGATGACGAGGAAAAAAATATGAAAGTTAAGTAAAGGGTTCGCTATCTCAAACCGACGGAAGGGGTTGAACGTTCTCTCTCGACTGTGTGACCAGAGGAGACTTCCCGAAGCGACGGTGTTGGAGAACGCGATTGTACCGACTTGCGGGACAGGAGTAGTTATCTAGGAAGAGCCAACGGTGGTCTCTGGGAAGAGAGGGAAAGAGAAAGAGTGACAAGAGGAGGGGCGGAGAGGGATGTGCGCAGAAACACCGCTCCTCAGCGCTGACGACGCAGAACCAACCTGACGAGGTGGTGACACAGCAGACACAGTAGTCTGCGCAGGCGTGCTGACGCTGCACGGCGCTGACACGCCGCCGGGGAATCTCCCCGAGGCGTGAGAGGACAAAGCAACCATGCCGGGCGGTTGCGGTATGCGCGGTGGACGGGCATGTGCATACAGAGACATACAGACGCGCGCGGACCGCACGGAAAGATCCGGAGAGAGAGAGCAAAACGAAGATGCTACTGCGTGCATGCGCGCTTTCCAATGTGCCACGACTAAGTAGGATTCATCACCTGCAGGGAACGATCCGCAGAACCAGCGGAGGGACAATTGGACAAAGGGCCTCGAGTGTAGCGTTTATGGCAGCAAGACCAGAGACTCACACATGTGCAAAAAAAAAAGGCTGAAGGGAGATTGCGGATAAAAAAAATACACAGAAAAATTATGGCAAAATATTCTGAAGGGAGGATGAGGGGAAAAAAAAAAATCGAGTGCAAAAAACATGAAATCGAAGGGAGGACGACGAGGTAAAAATAAAATAAGAAAATGAGTTGAGGACAAACAACGAGCTGAAGGAGCAGAAGGCGTGTTTTTTGTCCGTTGCCTTTCGCTCCTTGCCCGTATCCCTCCACGCACTCCAAAACAATTATCAGCGTGATATTTACGGCCACTCTGCTGCTACACTTTTGGGTACTGCCACTGTTAGTACAACTGCTGCTGCTGCTGCCGCGGCCGCCACTTTCTGTTGCTGTCGGAATAGCCACGAATATCTACTCACGGTGTGCATCCCATATGGTATGCATTCTTGGCCAGACCGCGGCGTACCGTGGACGTGAAGGGCGCGGGGACATGTTGCTGTTCTTCGGCTGCCGTAACGGGTCCCAGGACTGGATCTTCCGGCGAGAGATGGAGGGCTTTCTCGAGAGGGGCACCCTGTCTAAGCTACACACGGCCTTCTCCAGGGATGCCTCGGAGAAGGTGTACGTGCAGGTGAGACAACCCGACTAGCGAGATTTTTTACTAGTCCGGTGGCGTCAATTTTGTCTGTTTTGTCTGTCTGTCCGTTGTTCTGTTTGTTTGTTTGTTTGTCTATATGCGTCTCTCTCTCTCTTGGCCTCTCTCTCTCTCTCGCTCTCTCTCTCTCTCTCTCTCTCTCTCTCTCTCTCTCTCTCTGTCTGTCTGTCTGTCTGTCTGTCTCTCTTTGTCTCTCTCGCTCCCCCCCCCCCCCTCTCTCCCTCCCTTTTAATTTCTCTCTGAAA